AGGACAAACCGGGCGACGCGAGCGCCCTTCCACTGCTCGCCCGCGAGGCCGCGGGCATCGAGCCTTGCGCCGATCAAGTGCACATGGTGGACGTCGCTTCTGATCCGACAGAACCGCCAAATCAGTTACCGGACTGCGGCGCAGCCCAGCCAGTCGCCGACACATTTCTGACTTCGCACGAGACGCATGGCACGAACGGCAGGACAAGTTTGCGCAGAGCGTCGAGGACACCAGGGCGTTGCCGAGCCTGCTCGGTCAGCTGCTTGCCACGCTCGTCCTCCCAGTGGCCAATGATCCCGGCACCTAAGCCTGGCGCAATATGCTCTAGACTGGATGTTCGGCACGCCCACCGCGCGCTGTAAGAGGTAGCTAAGGCCCGCGTGGCCGATCATGAGTTGACCAGCCCGCTGCGCTCTGTTGCGCAGGACGCCGAACCTGGTGAAGAGCTTGTCGATGCGCTACTGCGGCAATCGGTCGACGCCCATCAGAGCCGATACCGCCCGCGCGCGCTCCCCCTCCAAGCTGGCCCCACCGTTCGGCCAAGCTGCGCATCAGGTAGGTCACAGGGGGCACTGGGTTGCCATTGATATGACTGCTTTGGATGAGGACAGCCGGCGGCCACTCGCCCGCGCACTCGCGGGCCATGCCATCGCACATTGCCGCTACCACCACCGCCAGCGTCAATGATGGCAGCGACCATGCCCATTCCGATGGCCTTCCATCCAAAGCGGAGCCCCTCCAGGTGTCGAGGAAGCGCGACAGTCCTGGCACCCGCCAACGGTGACGCTCTGGCAGCGACCCTCGAATCCGTCGTGGGTATCTATCCATATCGTGCTCGCCCTCGCGAGAGCATTGGCAATTCGCTTCTGTCGCGTGGTTGGCGCGCGTACTGCACTCGGAGCACCCCGCCATATCGTACTGAGGGAACTCGTCGCGCGTTCTAGCGTCACTGTACTGAGCACTAACAACTGTACGCTAGTCAAGAGGAGTACGCATCGGGATCCAGTTCTGCCACTAAGCAGGGAGCGCTGCAGGTAACATCGAAGGTCTTGCCCCAGAGAAACAAGAACGAAGAGTCCCAAGTTTGTGTAACGGCCCCCCGGAAGGGTGGCAACACATAGTTGCCCGATCCTCCTCAGCCTTCCCGCTCTTGCCTGCACGCCCCCCTCCCCCAGCTTCCACAACGCTGGGAACTCGGGACGCCTTGCCGACGCCGACGATGTGAGCGTCGGATCGAACGACTGCTTGACATAGCCGGCTACACCCACATGCGGCTGTAATGATGGCGGTGAGTAATGTTATTCGCCCCCCTCGGGCTTCCGCAACACAGGTGCGAACAGCTCGGGGCCGTGCGCCGACACCGTGAGCGTGGAAGTCGGCTCGTTCGACAGTCTGACGCTGACGGCGGCACTCACAGGCGAGTGCTGTGACGACGAAAGGCCCCGAGCATCTCGAACACACTTCGGAAGTGCCCGAGGGGGGGCACCCGGGCGAAATCCTCTCAGTGGTACCCGTGCTCCTGCACCGTCGTGGTTCTTGGCGGGTGGGCGGATGGTGCCCGGGCTGTCCCGAAAGAGCTGTTCCCTGCTTCGACGATCTGGTGGGGGTACACGGCGGCGAGCGCACTGCAGAACGTGCGGCGCCATGCAAAGCATGACGATGTAGAGCGGGGTGTATGGCGGCCGCCGCCTGGGCGCGGAAGGGCCACGCGGGCCATGGCGGCTGGTGTGGTGGTGGAGCGATATGTTCCGCTACCAACGAAGATGTAGAGCTATGGGTGAAAGAGATGCATCATCCCAAACGTAAAGCGGCTAGCGATGTAAACCAAATGTATACTGTAGAACGGGCGCGAAGAAAAGACCCGTGCAAACAGCAGCGGAACCAGTGCCACCCCGCTGGCATGCCCAAGGAAAAGGTTACCGACCTTTCGAGTGAGGATTGCAGGGGGCGGAAGGAAAGTAGGAGGAGGAAGAGGAGGAAGAGGAGGAGGAGGAGGAGAACAACGTCATAAGGGACATCCGATCCGACCGTACCCTTCGACCCACCGGTTTGGGCTGGTCAGCCTGAGATCTCTGAGCGCCGCCCTGGTAGCTGACACGGTGGCGGCGGGTAGATGGGTCTGCTCGGGGAAGGGCGGGTACCTCAAAGTGTGATCAGTACGTGTGGCATCATTAGCTTATCCTAGCTTCTGGATGGTGCAGCGCGTTATTCGCCGACGTCTTTAGACCAGCGCGTTCCACGACTCGCAAAGTAGCGGCTCGCAAATGACCTGGATCCGCCGCGGGGGATGTACGATCCATGACATCGAGGCAAAACATGTACTTTGTGTTCCGACGCTTGCGAGCAGGCATCGAAGACTCCACTGTACTCGCAAGGTGACCTTGCGGGCGAAGTGGAACGCGCTAGGTGAGTCTCGAAGGAGTAAATAAGTAAGACCCTCGGTGAAGAAGAAGCGGGGGAGGGGGAGGAGTACGAGTAGCTTGAACGAGAAAAAACGAGGGCAAGCGGACAAGAAGCGAGACGAGGGCAGATGATGATCCCGCTCGCTCCCACCCACTGCTACGCCTAATACTCTGCCACACTGTAATATGTGGCTGCGCTGGCCGCAGCATTCGGGCGCACTTTGAGGAGGAGGAGGAGGAGGAGGAGGAGGAGGAGGAGGAGGAGGAGGAGGAGGAGGAGGTCGGCCCGACGGTGCGCACGCGCGGTGCCCCGCGGGAGCGTGCCGCTCCCACTCTCGCGCGGGGAGAAGTTCCTGGCGGGCGGTGCCCCGAAGGCCCCCGCGCCTCCAGCCGAGCGCCTCTCCGGGCCTCCGCTGCGAGGCGCGGGGGCAGAGCCGTTCCAGGGATCGGGATTCTCCGGGGGCGGAGTGCAGCGCCGGAGGGCACGGCCATTCCCGGGGATCAGGAGGATGCCCGTGGGACGGACTGCAACGCCGGAGGAGTGGTGTCCGAGTGTGTCAAGTTCGCGTCGTGTTGACCCCGGCGTTGGTTCCAGACACCGCGGGGATCGTTCAAACTTGAATGATCGGCCGTAGCCGAAACCTTAAGAGCGTTCAACATCGACCGATTCTGGGTCGCAGACGGCGTCCACAATCGACACGACGCGAACTTACCGTCGATGGGGTCGGAGGATCGCGCCGCATCGCCAATGCATCGGCGATGCGACTCGATGTGGATTCCGATGTTCTCCACCCTGGCGTCGCCGATGCATCGCAGACGTTGCCGATGCATCGGCAATGCATCGGCGATGCATTGGCGATGCGGCGCGATCCTGCGACCCCAGCAACTGGGACCCCATCTGAGAAGCCTCTAGCTTCAGGCGCGCGAGCCACGCTCTGCGGGCCGGGCACTGCTGCAAGGCGCGGAAGCATGTGCGCGTTCGCGGGGGGATTCTGGAAGAAAGCCCGGCATCCCGAGCTGTCTGACGACCATCGACGCACACAGACATCCGGCGGCGTGTTTTCCCACAACGTGGCCCTCAGAGGTCTGGACTCCTTGCCCTCATCCTGTCCATTTGTTGATGGGCCTTGGGCAAGGCAAGGGCTCCCAGAGGCCGAAAACTGCCCACGCCACACACCTTCCGTCGTGACGCTTCCAAGGCTGGGCAGACGGTGTGGCAAGCGGTGTGGCTGGTGAACGGCTGGCCTCGCGAAAAGAAGCCGCGAACGCTGAGCTCGAAGAGTCCAGGGCGGGACACCCGACAGGACACAGAGCCCGCGGAAGCCCACTGACGACACGGACCAGCCTGGCCCCGCTGAGCCCTTCGAGCACGCAGCCGCGGGCGCACACAGGACAAGAACGACTGCGGAAACGCAACACTAGTCGGAGATCTGCGCGGACTCCTTGGATCGGCGCTGGAGCCCCCTCCCGCGCCGACCCTAGAAATCCGCGCGGACCTTCGAGAGCGTATGGCTCTGTGACGGTTTTTCTTCGGGCACAGCTCGCTCCTGGCGCCCCCGCCCCCGCCCCCACACTTCCATGGCGTTGGTTCCAGAGAGGTCGCCGGAACATGCACTTGAGGCCGTCCTGGGGCGCTCGTAGGGGCTCTTGGAAGCACACTGAGGCATATCTTGAAACATCTTGAGATGTCTTGAGCGATCTTGGAGGCCATCTTGGACTCTCTGGGACCCTCTTTGGGGCCACCTGGGGCCAAGAAGGACCCCGCGGCCTCGCAGGGATTCCCTCGACGCGAAGAGCTGCCCTTGCGGAGACCGCTGGCTGCCCCCAAGCAGAGCGCCCGTCGTCTCTGTCGCGGCGCTGGCGATTTTGAGGCCGTGTTCTCTGCCGTCAGGAACTTTTGCATAGCGTGTCGCGGCGACGGCCCCGGCGACACGCTCTGCCCTGCAAGCGGATAGCATATGGCTCCCATTCGCGGGGCGAAGGGCTGGGCAAGGCTTGGGGCATTGACGCTTGGGGGCCGGACGGTGGCTAGCGTGTCGCGCCGGAGCGCGGTGGGCCAAAACCGGCGGCGTGACACGCTACGCCAAAGTTCCCGGCCGTATCGCTGCCCCTGTTGAGGCCGCCAACGCTGCCTCATGGCCCATGGTATTCGGGTCATACCTCGGCTCTCCGGCGGCCGTTCGGGAAGATCCGGACATCCCCAGGAAGCCCTCGGCGAGACGCAGCCGCTGAAGGCATCCCGAGGTTGGAAACCGCAGAGAACCGACGAACAAAAACAAAAACTTCGAACCCCGACGTTGCCCCCTGGCGCAAGTTCCCGACCGTAGCCCCCATGTGCTGACAAAAAGACGCCAGAGCTCAAGCGCCCGCGCGGGCGCTGGCCGAATCCAGGGCCTGGAATTGGAAGCCAGTGGAACTCCAACTGAGGATTGGCCATGGATGCCACCGCCACCCTCACCAGATAAGGAAGCATCCAGGGTCTGAGGCCTCCTAGGATCCTGGCTCCATTCCTTTGCGAACGCCCCGGCCGTAGCCCCCAGTGCTGACAAGGAGATGCGAGGAGGTCGGGCGCCAGTGCGGCACAAGGGGCGGAGGCGC